ATCTTGGAGGTGTTACATGATTGTATATAAGGTTGAGATACAACGGGGGGCGTACTAAAAAAGATTGCAAATTTTAATTCTCTGGAAAATAAGACAGGGATGAACTCTATTAAAGGAAGTTTTACAAACAGAAATGTTTTTTTTTAAAAAAAAAATCCAATAGGAATTTCCTCTTCAGAGGATCAAAAAATAATGCAGGATTGTAACAGTTTTCAGCTCTATAAAAGTGTGAGGGCAGAGTAACAGAAGCTGATGGAACTGGAACTTGAGGATCTTTCCAGGAATCAGTGCCCTTTGAAACACAGGGGAGAAACCACATCCTTAGGTGCCACTGGTCTCCAGAATGACAAATTCCTCAACCACCCATTTAGCCAGGATGGTCTGAAAAATATTCCAGGAGAGGGGCGGGACTTGAACCTGTGCCAAGCACAAAAGAACTTCCATCCTTGCATTATTTGCTAAGGAATACAGCATAACCTGTATTTACCAAGATTTCATTGTGTTATGTGTGTTTTAAGTAATCTAGAGATGATTTAAATTGTTTGGTAGAGGGTAGATATTACACAGTGGGTCATTTTGCTGTTAGATGCCTTCGTCCCCATATCAGCATTCTGATCATGTCCCAGCGCCTCTATTTGCAATCCAACTTCCTACTCACACACGGGAGGCAGAAGATGATGGTGGATCAAGTGCTCTGGCCTCTACCATCTGTGAAGGAGACACAGAAGGGTCTCTGGCCTCCTGGTTTTAGCTCATTGGCTCTTACAGGCATTGAAAGACTGGCTCGCTCGCTTTCTCTCTCTCTCTCTCTTCTCTTTCCCTCCTCCCTCTCCCTATGCCTTTAGTGGTTTCAACAAATTAATGAACATTTAGGAAATAGATAGGAAAGTATAAAAGAGGATGTGCATAAGGTCATATTAAACATGGTAATATTGAAGAACACATGAGGAACTTGAGCAGCCACAGCTTTTGTTGCTTACATGGATTCTAGAACCTTCACCTGTGAATAGGAAGGAACAGCTGCTTTCCCAGAGTTCCTGTGCATTCTCTACCTTTTCCTTCCTGCTGTCTCACCTCATGAGTTTCCACTTCCTCAGTTTCTCCTTTCGATAATTCCAGTTGTTTGTTATTTCTAACGTCATCTGCTCTCTCCTTCTCTGTCTCTGCCTCTCTTCTCTGTCTCTGCCCCCCCCCCTTCTCTCCTTCTCTCCTTCTCTTTCGCTCTGTCTCTCGCAAGCCAAGAGCCCAGACCCCAATCTGGGTCTCCTCCTCGGGTGTCAGTGACGCAGGTTCTTGAGTCCTCACCTGCTGCCTCCCAGCATACACATGAGCTCCTAGATCGGTAGCACGGTAGTTTGGACTCAGGCATTCCAAGAAAGGATGCACCTTTCCCGGGCAGCAGCTTAACCACAATGCCAAGTGACCGCCACCATGGTTTTGGATTTTTTTGGTACTTGCTCTTTTATGCAACACAAAGTTTTCTTAATATTTTCTTACCCAATTATTGCTTTATTAACCCACTTAGTAAGTTACCGAAATAAACTAAAATATCTTAAATCATTCATTTAGGAAAGACAGTTGGAGAACTAGTGAAAGAAGTGGATTGGCTCCCAAAATGTTCCCATTTGGAATCATAGAACAAATTTGATTCTGTTTTTCAAAAGTTTCACCAACACGGTCATTGTGCCATCACTCTGATCGGCAGGTGCTCCGATCTTCAGCCTCAAGGGCCTCTCCTGCTGCTGACCAGTGTTGTCAGGTGAATGGCCATCACTGTGCTCCTGGTCTCTCAGATCAAATCTTGAATGAATGACTTTGGAAAGGAAGTATTTGAATGTTCCCAAAGGAAAATTGAGATGGATAGTACTCCACACATTCCCTGGTTCACTGGGATGACTCATTTACAAATAACCCAGAATATTGTATATAAGAAAGCAGGCACAACTAAAGTTTTACTTTTTAAAATGAAGTTATGTATTTTAGTATTCTGCGATATAATTCCATAGGCCTGGATTTTCCTTCCCCTTTCCTCAAATCCCACCTCCTTCTCCCAACTTCCCCCGCATTACTATAGTATAGTCCTTCACAATCAGTGATCATTCTGCTATTTCAGTTATCCCGACATTGTAGGCATGGACAGTGGCAGAGAGTACAGCATCCTATTATCAAGATACATTCACCAGTTTCTTGGGGGCCCAGCGCAGTTGCATAGTGACTAAAGTCCTCACCTTGAACGTACTGGGATCCCACATGGGTGCCGGTTCTAATCCTGGCAGCTCCGCTTCCCATCCAGCTCCCTGCTTGTGGCCTGGGAAAGCACTCAAGGACTGCCCAAAGCCTTGGGACCCTACACCTATGTGGGAGACCTGGAGGAAGTTCCTGGCTCCTGGCTTGGGGTTGGCAGGGTTGGCACAGCACTGGCTGTTGTGGTCACTTGGGGAGTGAATCATCAGACAGAAGATCTTCCTCTTTGTCTCTCCTCCTCACTAGATATCTGCCTTTCCAATAAAAATAAATAAATCTTAAAAAAATTTTCATTGGGAGTTCATCTTTGATTTATAACTATAGACACATACCACATTGTATCTTCACATCTGGATATGATAGTCTCTGTTACACAGTGACTATACATCCCCTTAAATGAAAAACCATAAAACAAAATCAACAACAGAGAAACAAGTAGAAAATGTACAACATGAAGTTAAATAGCATGCTACTGAATGACCAGTGTGTCACTGAAGAAATGGAAAAGAAAACCACTTTCCTGAAGCAAATGACACTATCGTGTGACCTATGAGTCAGTGAGTATAAGAAAACAAAACATTTTGAATGAATGAAATGAAAACAAAAATATCACACCCCCCGTGATGTAACAAAAACAGTATTGAAAATACTATTGATCTTGTATTTTACATGAAGCTTGCCTTGTATCACAGAGAACACATGATATTTGTCCTTTTGAGATTGACTCGTTTCACTAAGCATGATGGTCTCTAGTTGCAATGACAGAATTTCATTGTTTCTAATGGCTGAGTAGTATTCCATGGGTAGGCATCTGGGTTGTTTCCATGTCTTTGCTATTGTAGATTGTGCTGTTGTAAATATAGGATTACAGACCCCTTTCTGATATGCATAGTTCATTTATTTTGGCTATATTCCTAGGAGCTGAATAGCTGGGTCATGTGACAGGTTTATTTGCAATTCTCTAAGCACCCTCCATACTGATTTCCACAGTGGTTGTACTAGCCTACACTCCCACCAGCAGTGAAGGAGGGTGCCTTTCTCCCCACATCCACCCTAGCAGGTGTTGTTAGTAGAGTTCTGAATGTAGGCCAGTTTCACTGGAGTCAGGTTGGACCTCAATGTGGTTTTCATTTATATTTCCCTGATAGCTGGGGAGCCTGAGCATTTTTTCATGTCTATTAGCCTTTGAATTTGTTTTGCAAAATGTCCATCCTTTTTTTTTGCCCACTTCTTCACAGGGTTGCTTGTTTTGCTGCTTAGTGTCTGAAGCTCTCTGTAAATCCTGGATATTAGTCCCCTGTCAGTTGTGCAGCGTGCAACAACTTTCTACCATTCTGTTGTTGCTTTTTCACTTTGTTGATCATCTCCTTCACTGTACAGAAGCTTCTCAGATTGATGTCGTCCCATTTGTTTATTTTGCCTGTGCTTTGGGTGACTTTTCTAAGAAGTCTTTCCTAATTCCTGTAGCTTGTACAGTGCTTCCTATGTTTTCCTCTAATGGTTTGATGGTTTCTGGGTGCAGATTGAGGTCTTTGATCCATTTAGAGCTGATTTTTGTATAAGGTGAAAGGTGGGAGTCTTGCTTCTTACCTCTTCAGGTTGCTATCCAGTTGTCCCAACAGTGTTTTTTGAAGAGACCAGGATTTTGCCCTGGATGTTTTCAGTTCTTCTTTTTGAGAATCAGGTGAGGCATGAGTGGAAAAGCCAGTGAGAGGATAGAAGATCTGGTATGAACATTCCATTTCAATTCCCATTGGTACCATCAAAGCACAGGGAACATTCCAAGGCAAGCTGTTTGGATGTGAAATTCCTTCTTTCTGGATGCTTTGTCTTCCTAGTAAGGTTGCCATGATGGCCTGACGGTTGGACACCATCGTGGCCTAGTTTAGCACAGCTGAATCCTCAAACAGATGTGTTCTGCTGAGTGAATTGCACATTACATTCCTCATGTGTTTTCATCCTGAACTCATTAAGCAGAGGAAATGGATATTTCTTCAGACATGGGTTTGACATTCCATCATACTGTACCATAAACAGGACAGGCAGTGTGCAGACAGTGGGGCTGGGCCAGCAGCCGGTGCTGGTAAAGGCCCTGGTTATCTCATTTAAACAGATATTAAGTAAGTGTGGGTGCCGGTGGTGCGATCATCAGCCGCTTTCCACTTTTTGAATAAATTGCTAAGAAGGAATCTTTTGCCTACCAGATGTGACCTAGATTTAGATTTCCAGAGGCAGAGGAGGGACAAAAATCTCCATTGTGTTAAGAAACAATTGCTGGTAAAATGCATGGCAAATGAGCTTATCTCACTTTTCCAGGTGTTTGGACTAATATGCTATGGAATTACTGCTTCATTTATGAAAAATAATTGAGGAGAATGTTCCAGCAAATCAAATTTGGATAAAGGCTCAGGGATAGCTATTGTGTCGTTAGCAAGTCTTCAAATGGCAGAAAGAGCAGAAGCCAATAGAGATAATAAAAATATAAAAACCCTGTGTTTAAGAAGAGTCTCCTATGAAGGGTCAGGCACGGGGGTACCTTCCAGCTTGCATTGTGGTTTAGTGAAATACTGAAGAACAACACGAACAATTACACTCCTCTCAGTTGGATGAAAGCTGTTTCAAAACCAAAGCTTGTCCGTCTGCTGATGCTGATAAGGTCTTACTACTCTGTTAAATGTGGCATTTAAAAAAAAAATGTGACATCTTTATTCTCTCTTACCCACTGTCTCTCCTTTCTCATTTCCTTTCATCTTCAGGAGCCGCTACTCCAAAACCAGTCCCAGAGCCCGAGAAACAAACGGACCACACTGTTAAAATTGCTGGAGTCATTGCTGGCATCTTGCTGTTCGTTATTATATTTCTTGGAGTTGTGTTGGTAATGAAGAAGAGGTGAGCTATTGCCAGAGACGTGGTGATGGGCCATCGTTTGCCGGGTTGCTTCGTGGGTGCGAATATGTTCAGTTAGTGTGTCACATCTGTGACTCTGTGATTGGTGGCATTTTTTTTTATCATTCAGCATTCAAGGTGATGGGACAGAAATTTAGAGTAAACGGTTGTTGTTTTGCATAAATATACAAAATGTCAGAATAATTGAAGAAATCTGTGTCTTCTCACCAGGAAAGCCATTTGTTTATCGGGAAATTGCTAGTACTTATTATTAACGTACTTGTATTTGATACTCCCAAAGATAGGAGAGTGAAGACTTTTCCTTATCATTATAGTGAAAATGATGATGATGATGTTAGAATTTAGTGAGCTAATGTTATGCACAGAACCCATGCTAGGGCGGTTCATCAGCACAATAACCCATGAAAAAGAGTATCTCAAAGGACCAACAACAGAAAACCTCAGGGCAGCCACAGAAATAAGGACAACTCAATCCCAGACTACGTTGTAAGAGCTTCTAAGAGAGCCATGTCTAGCTGAGCCATGTCTAGCCATATCTGGGCTTTGTGGGGGGAGGAGGCAAATGGAGCTGACTACAGTGAGCAAGCCCCGGTTCCCATCCACAGGAAATAAGCAGTGTCTTGTGCTTAAAAGTGTAAGAACTTGCTTCCTAATGAAATCTTTCATTTATGTAGAAACTCTCAACATAAAAATAGAGATGATAAGAAATGATAGAATAACTTGTCCCAGACAAAGGGAATACATGGATCTCATTCCCTTCTCCTGTGTAATTTGTAAATACAGAATTGAAGAGAGGTCATGGCCGGTAGAAGATGGAGGAGGTGAAGGCAAAAACATTTGGTAACCTGTGGTCTTGAAAGTCTTACCTATTCATGCAAAGAGGCTGAAAGAGGCCCTGAAACCCACTGATGTCCTTTAAGTAATGACAACTAATTGTTATCACAGAAAGGTTGCCCTGATGTTAGCATTGAGCACAGCAACAAGCGAGGGCGAGAGTTGGGAAGAAGTTAATGAGAAAGAAAATAGCTAGTTGGAGAAAGAAAGAAAAATACAGAAAGTTCCTGCTTCCTAAAGTTATTGTCACTCACTGAAATACAGAATATAGGAACTAGAACATACAAAGGTAGAGTAAAAAGTTCATGGAGAGGTAAGTTTATGTTGGTGCAGTGTTTTTGAAAGTCCAGGCATGGTGTTTTCGTAACATAAATATCACTAAATATGCATCTCCATCCTATGCATGAATTTCAAACATTTATATGCCAAAACAAACGTTTTAGTTCCAGTTTCCTTGAGATGTTTGAAGATGATGTGGATTTGGGGAGTAAAGGTTGAGGGTTCAGTTTTGCATGTTTCAAGTTCAGTCTTCCCTGAAAAGTCAGTGGAGACGCTCGTTGTGCGGCTGAAGATGCTGTTGGGGTGCAGGCAGAATCTTTGGCATGGCCTGAAAGTCACCAGAGTTTCTGGAGCTGAAGCCAAGGGTTAGCTCAGGTCATTCAAAGTCCCTCTTAGAGTGAGAAGAAAGAATTTTGAGGATGAAGATAAAACCTTGGAAAACAGCACTTAAAGGGTGAGTTGATATTGCAAATATATTCACACACGTCCCTCTGTTTCTTGTTTCTGCTCTCCTTGCATGGTTTTTGTTCCAGTCCAGCCCCAAGGGGGGCTGCTCTTCTGCTACAGCTGTCGTTGACTTGGGGCCTGCTTCGTTTCAGCTCTTCTCTTTGTCGTCTGTATCTTATCCCTTTTCCTCTCTTTCCCCTGTCATCGAATTTCTTGCTGCCTTTTCAATTATTTTTTTCCTATTCATTCTATTTCTCTGTACCTTTCTCTTTTTTACACTTCCTCTTTGGCTCTGTATTTCTCTTCCTCCACATTTGCTCCTCTTGTTTCATTTACATTTTTCTTTCTTTTGTCTTCCCATATCCCACTCATAAAATTTCCTTTGGATGCTCTCCATCTCACTCTATGTAGGTATGTTATTTATGTAGATGCGTTAATTTTGACATCACTGGCTTCCTTTTTCTTTCTTTCCTTATTTCTTTGTTAGTATAAATCTAAGCAATAATAGACTGTTTCACTCCTGGATGTTTAAACTCAACATTTCCTAAAGATTGGTTTTAAGTTTTTATGTTAATCTGGTAAATTCTTTGCAAGGAATAGCCAGAAACTACTAATCCACTTGCCCTGTGACCTTCGATAAGTGTTAACTAACCCCCCAAGGATCTATTTCTGCAGGATTCATTCATTATGCTACCTGGGTCTCCCAAGTAGTCATTGAGGTTGTGTTATATATTATGCATTTAAAGATTGCCTGCAGTGACATGTAGCCCCAGTGCTTAGACTCCACCTGGAAGTTACGTCAGAACTTACAGGATTATTTTCTAGGTGATGATCTTAAAAGAACCGTCCTGCCAGCATGTGCCACTTTGCATTCCATTTTTCTGACATAGAAATACTCTTTCCATCAAGCACGTTATAGATTAATTATAAACACAAAACTTGTCATAAAATATAGACCTCAACAGTCATGTGGTCAAAGTTTCCTGTTAAATAACAATTCTTGAAACTTCTAATTGTCCATGGTTTTCCTCCAGAATTCAAGTATTATATTTTCAAAGCTATATTTTTAAACAGAATAATTAAAGCATGGAATGAATCATAGATAAGTTGCTGGAGCGTTATTGATGAGGAACAAGCATATTTCATTATTTAAACCTCCCGGTAGCTCTCCCAGAGACTCTTTGTTCAGTCACTTCAAGCCCAAAAATATTCGAGGGTGAGCACTTGATCTTTCAGCCACACATTTCCCACTGTCACATAGGAGGCCCTCAGTGTAACAGAGGAAGCTGGGACGAAGTAAAGCACTGAGAGGAAGGAGTGAAAGAGATCTCCCTCAGGTGTTCTTTCCACGGTTCCATTAGTCATTTCTGCTGCTTGGAACCTGAAGCCATCAAAATCCCAGACTGCTTCCTGGGGAGGGGACCTTAGTCTTCTGAGTCAACTTAAAGTTGGACTAAGCCCAGCAGAAAGTATGGGTGAAACAAATCTATTTGTGCTTCTGAAGGTCTGTCCTGCTGTGCAGCAGCCGGTGGGGGTGGGTGCGGTGGTATCCTCTGTGCTTGTCAGCATACAAAGTCTGCCCAGCTGGAGATGTGGGGCTGACAACCACAGGCTCTGGAGGATGGTCAGGCTGCACATTGCAAGACATTCTCTCTCTTTCTACTTTATTTTTAATTTTATGGTGCAATTCCATAGGCTCTGGGATTTCTCCTACCCTTTCCTCAAAGCCCCTTCCCCACAACTGGTTTCCCCCATATTATTACAATACTATAGTCCTTTAGTGGCAGTCATAAGTCCATCATTATCCATCACAGGATTCAAGTGTATCCTGACATTGCTGGTACAGACAATGGCAGACAGTCCAGCATCCTATTGTCAAGGTATATCCAACAGTTTCACTGGGAGTCCATCTTTGATTTGGAAGTAGAGATGTATACTGCATTGTACCTTCACATCTGGATGCGATAGTCTCGATTACACAGTTACTGTACATTTTATATGAGAATCCGTGAAACAAAGTCAACAACAGGAATAAAGTTAAAACAAAAAATTTACGGCACCATGGAGTTAAGTAACATGCTACTGAATAACTAATGTGTCGATGAAATGAAAAAGAAAACACAAAAGCTTCTTGGGGAAAATGATGCTACCGTATGATTTACGAGTCAGTGAAGAACTTACTTATTAGGAGAAAATAAACTGTCTTGAAGAAATGAAAATAAAACAATATCAAAACCTGTGGGTTGCAGCAAAAACAGTATTGAAAGGGTTATTGATCTTATCATTTGCATTAAGATTACCTTATGTCAGAGAGAACATATTTGGCTTAGCTGAGGTAGAAAAAGGCTAACATAGAAAAATGATTTTTCCAGGTGGGCGTCTAATAGACAAAATGTAGAATCTGTTCAGCTCATATTAGCTTACAGGCTTCATTATAGGAAATAAGAGTGAAAAGCTTAGATGACCATCAGAGGCTCTTGGCTCCGATGTCTAATTCTGTCACCTCTCGATGACTAATTGCTTCTGGAATTCAAATATAAAATGAAATCTTCTTCAAAAACTTCTTATAAAACCTACACAGTCACTTATTCTGTAAAAAAACAAAAAAAGTTCTTGTTTTAAGAAGTTTACCTTCTAAGAACTGTATGTTCCTGTAGTGGTGCCACATTTTTGGTGCACCGGATATAAAGAGAGCAGGCGAAGTCAGTGCCTACAAAAAGCCTCGCATAGAACCCCAGAGCAGTGTACTCTGCAGCTCAGTGCACAGGAACTGGAGCTGCAGATGCATACATGTTGTATCTATATATAATTACCTGTATTTGCCTAAATGGAAATAACTGCATTTTCAACATTTTTCTTGAGGAATAATTTATCTCAATACCATGTTTGACAGAATGGAGTACTTAAGTACCACCAACTTTACGTGATTAATTGCATTTGTATTGTTTCTAAAATTGCTATAGATCTTTCAGAAGTTTCAAAACATTTGTATTAATTACAGTAATAGCTGTTGTGGCACATAAAAAATCACAGGACCTGTGGCTATTTGAAAAAAGGAGATATGCATTCTTGGATGAAATAGTAATAGTAGTTTTTCTATTAGATTGCCACCTGTTATAGGTAAATATAAATATTTGTCATCCTGAAATGCCATACTTCCATTTCCTTTCCCTAACACATTTTAACACATGTACATTTTGCAAATGCAGTATCTGTTGTTAAATATTTAGCATCCATTCTATTTAAACAATGCTAGTACTACCAAGAAGAAAATTGCAGTAAAAATAGGAAATATTTCTGAAGATCTCATGAAACGGAAAAAGATAAGAGGGAAAATGTGATGAAAGCCCTGAGTTCAAAGAGATGCCTGTAGTGTGTGGCCGGAGGCAAGCTGGCGTTAACTATAGTTCCTCTGCTCTACC